TTTTCATCTCTTTATAGCATACTCATTTTCTCAACCATGAGGTCTCAATTAACAGCAGTTTTTAAGAACCATATTTTTGCAATTGAGAGACTCGATAGCATTAGCGTAGTAAATGAGCTCCCAGCCCATTTACTGCATCCCAACTCTGTTAACTTGTCTGTCAGTAAGCCCAGCAGATTAACAAGGCTAAGTTCCTATCTGTTATCGCCAGAATGTTATTATGTATGTTTTTGGTATATTTGCCAACATATACTGCTTCATTCTTTGTCTCAGAAGAGGTCATCTTTCAAGGTGTTTGTTTATTACTGTACCCCAAAATTAATTATTGTTGTCGCCCAAAATACAGAGGTAATTAAGTTCTGCCAGAATCAAATGATTATTCCAGCTGAAGAGAGAGCCTATACAAATCAGGACATTTTTAGAGAATACTGTTAGGGGGAAAAAATGAGAGGGAAAAGGACCATCTTTTTCTTTCTCTAATGAAAATGTGCCATTTACTATTAATATCTCAGATAGTCTGGTTATTATCAGCTTTCACAGAGAGAACTTCAGTTGCTTTGGACTTTAAATGGAATTTCTTGCTGAAGCCAGATCATCTGGACAAGTTACAAGAGAACAAAAGACAAGGCTTAATTTGATGGGCAGGTTTTGGAATTACCTGTGGTTCTTTGTTTTTGACAGTAACTAGGTCATAACTCTATGCTCTTTACCACAAAAAAAATAGAATAGTTGCATTAAAACCATAAATAAAGGTAATACAAGAACCACTAAACCATCCAAAATAAACCTATCTGGTACTAAACATTGACTTGGATATGCAAAGGCTAAAATTACTCACTGTGTTAAAAACAATTCAGAAAGCAAATTTTCCATGGATTTGCTGATTAGAGCTCTTGTTATGCTGAAGAAATTTGGAAACCTTAGGAAAGTCAACATAGGCTAAAAATATTTTTCAATCTTTGAATGTTTTCTATTGAAATAAAATATTTTGTGAGGTTTTATTCTCTAATTTCTTGCTGTGCTGTTTCCATTAGCTATACATAAAGTTTGCAAATTACAATTGTTTTCTAAAAATTGCCTATCAGAATGAATCTGCTCTTGAGGGCTGTGAAAATTGCATACTGTTAATGCTGTGAATATAGTCTATGAAATATTTGTTATATATAGTCCCATAGCTCAGGGATATAGAAAGGGTGCTTTCTTCTTATAAACAAAAAGTCTCGTTTTTTAATTTGGAGAGCAGTTTTTTTGTAAAAGATTAAAAAAAATGCTTTCCTCCATGTCTTACTATTGAACCAAACATGAATCTTTATGTAATTAGTATATATAGAACATTACATTCAGATGCAAGACTTAAGTGTTTCAAGATAAACCTGTCATGTCTCCGAAGCTTTATGATATAAATTGTATAAAAATAATAGTACGTAGGGCTAAGGGGGAACTAACAAGACATCTTTTTGTAAAGAAAAGTTGGAAATAGACCACCATGGCCTTTTTTGTTTGTTTATCAGGCTGGAAACCTATTAAACCTTGCAAAGGGTTAGCGTATATAAGACAGGAGCTGATATGAAAATATTTTAGGTAAGGCTTCCAAAACTATTGAAGTTTTTAATGAATAGATTGAGCCTTCAAGAAATTTTAGTAAATTTTATACTGCAGGAGGTTGACATGTAGCTCGGCCAGTTATTAGCTGTGAATCTTTGAGCAATCTCTCTGTCCCTCATTTTCCTTATCTATAAAGTATAGATAATCATGCACTTCTTGAAATTTTGTGAGGATTAAATTAATTAACGTTGCTTAGAATTTAGAACTAATGAATGTTAACTCTCTTACTCTTATTTTAATGTCAGGAAGAAGTTTTAGCAGTTTACATGACAAATGTTGGAGATACCTAACAGTGCCTTCTGTAGAACCCTGTATTCTTTAATCACTAAATACTAACATATACAACTTCTTTTTTGCTAGAGTGTTGTATGATTTACAATTATTGTTTGATTGTTATGTGTAGTTTTCCTAAGGAAACTTTTAAACCATGTTCCCATGACTTCTGTGTTAGGTATAATTAAAAAGAATTTGATTTTTTTTGGAAAAGTAAAGTTTGTTCTGGTTAGTTCTGTTGTTATTATAGCAGTTATTTTCATGCTGTAATTCAACTAACCAAAATTACCTGGTTATGGGCCATTAAGAGAGTTCTGTGTTTTGATCTCAGAACAGGTGGGAGGGAAGGTTCATGTTTATAGGGAGATACCAATTTCTATATTATACATAGTCATAACGTATATATTAAGGAGAAAAGTTTAGTACCTCCCAGTCAGTGGAAAATACTATGCTCAATAACTAAAAAGACCCACGAACACAGTCTTCGCATGTTAATATTTAACATACCTGTTAAATATTCTTAGGTTGGTGTTTATTGGGAAATTTTAATCTAGCTCAGAGATTAAGAGAAGCATGCCAAGTCTTAAATAATAACAAAAGATGGAAATCAAGGACATAAGTGAGAAATGATTAGTAAGCTAAGTAATTTGTAATAGTTAATGTAGCAGATTAGCTGAAAAAGAGCTTTTGGTGTCAGGTTGGTTGGAATTTCCTTTAAGAGAACACAGCATTTGAGCTAAATTGAGGTTGGCAGCAACATTAGAGATAAATAGCTAAAAGCAGTTAGGGTCAGATAGTAGATGATCAAAAGTCTTTTGAAAATACTTCATTTCATAGCTGTGAACCACGGAGGAAGAAATGCACCCAATCCTGCAGATTTGAACAATGGAGTAGCTCCCTTTTTGCAAATATATTTGGGAGGATCATGATTGTTTATCAGCTTCTATAAAATACTAACCTACTATAATACTAAGGCAGAATCAATGTTAGTCCTAAACACTTTAATGTAAATTTACAGAAAAATCTCAAGTTACTAGTATGCCATACATATTGGAAGAATATTTTATTTAAGCATTTCCAAGCTAGCTAGGTAAGAGAAAATACATGTAACTTTTTTCAAAAGTCTAGTAGTTGTTGAGAAGTAGAGCACAGACACAGATATTTACCTCTGTTTATTCTATTTTATTTTTCAGAAAAAACATACAAGTATGTGTATAAGGATATATTATTTAAATTGCACTATTTCTAGGCCTGATTATAAGAGTTTTCAAAACTAAAATGTTAATAGCTTATTTCATGTGTTTTTAATAAGTAATGTTAGTGTTTGTGTGTTCTTAAGGAAAATTACTCAGGTCTTTTTCTTTAAATTTTTGGCTTTGTTTTTAAACAAAAGCAAATGATGCCAAGAGATTTTTTTTCATTAAGTTAGGGGCCAGAAGTTTTAACTCTCAAACATTGAGGACATCTCTCAAGTTATATATGAGGTTTTAGGTTAAACCTTATGTTTTTTTTTTTGTTTGTTTGTTTTGTTTTTTGCCATGATTATTTTATTGATCCACCTACACAGTTTGCTCAGGAACATAGCAAAACTTATATAATAAAAAATCCATAACATTATTTTAGTTTATCTGTATTTTTTTATTCTACATTTAAAGTTCTTACTTTAACAGTGGGTCTCAGGATTATCATTTAGACTAGAAAAATGATATTAGAATAAAATGCAGTAGGTATTTTTACAAAAGCCAGTAGTAAAATGTCTAATAATAGTCAATGTTTATAAATGCTTAGAGTATGTTTTACACAGACTATGCCACATTTTACATTATACCTACAGGGATGGCTTTAAAAATCAAACTCTATAGGCATGCTATCTGGGAATTTACTTTATAAAGTGGTACCTTTGGATTAAAGTGGTACCTTTGGAAAGAACATTATAGCTTGCGTGTTCCAAGTATCATTTACATCATGCTTGTATCCAAGTAATCTAATATATTATTCAGTTGTTGGTGTAGATTTAGAATTGTTTATGTGTATGTCATGGAAACTTTGGAGTAATTTTAAATATTTAGTAGTCAGGTTAGCAAGTATCTTAATAGTTTTCATGGACAAATAATGTAGACAGTATTTCTTTGGAGTTAGAATCTTATTATTTAATCTGTAAAAAATAAATCAGATCATGGTAGTGAGACTGCTTAGCCAGAAGAAAAAAATACCTTTCCCCAGTGTTTTTCAAAAAAAAAAAAAAAAAAATGTAGGACCCAGCTGTTCTTCCTACTCCATAATAAAAAATGTACTATGTCGAAATATATTAGAAACTATCTCAAGTGTTTTTAATGTGCAACTGATAAACAGCGATCTACACTAATGATCAAGAACAATGAAGTTGGCAATCCAAATTATTAATGTTTGACTTAGAAATCCATAGTACTCAAAACTCACATATAATGAATATATGCATAGTATGTAACAACCAAATCCTCTTTCCCTATGTGCTTGTCCAAGGTGATCTTAAAAATCAAAAGAAGTCAGAATTACATTCAGCAAAAAACATTTCTGGATTACTCAATTCTCTTTAGTGGCAATTTGCTTAGAAGTCCTATGTTGTGCTTCTCTAGGTTTGTGTAAAGTGCTAATTAAGGAGTATAAGTAATGAGGGGACATTTTAGGCAGTCTAAGTGCTAAGACTACTTTTTTATTTATATCTTTTCATGAGGATAGAGAATTATGGTTTTTATTGGCAACTCAGATATAATTAAGAATGTTTTGTAATTACTCATTTTAAACAAAAAATTTCTAGGGTGGGGTAAATTTTCAAACAAGACAATGAATTTAATTATATTTTTAAATAATGTTTATAGAAAATAAGTAGTCAGAGAAAATAACTTCTAAAAATTTTAACATAGATCAATATTTATATTCCACAGAACTTTATTCTTCTAAACCAAAACATCTCGGTATTTTTGCTCCTTATTTATATAATATGTGTTCTATTATATACCCCTCCCTTTGTCCAAATTTACTTAAAAAATGAAGAATATTTCAGAATTTGCTTTTATATTTAAAAATAAATGAAACAATATTTATAACCAAAAAATTTATATTCTCCTATATTTCTGTTTTAGATGCTTTTTGAGGATGTCAGCTTCTACATATGGGAACTAAATATTGAAGGTTGCATGGTTTACAGAAAAGGTCTTTAAAAGATAGACATTCAAGGTAAGCAGTATTTATAGCCTTATAAATAATATAATTTATATGATTAGAGTTACCATGTTATAATTTGACTTGCTAAATTTGCTTGCTTTTTGTCACTGATCTGTCTAGGTGACCTCAAAACCACATTAATTGATAGTTGGTCACAAATATTTACACCCTAGCACCATCTTGACAGGGAATATACAATTTCATTTATAGCAGACTGCTGGAAGAATGTAAGCTAATTAAGATTTCTTTGACTGCTTTTTATATCTTTCTATTCAGGTTTTTTCTTCATCTTCCATTTCCCTTCTATGAATCCTGACATAACACCTAATGGTCTCCTCACATGCAAGTATAACTCAGACCCACTTTCCTTTGAGTTAGGAGATATATCGACAGTATCAGTGTCCACATCTAACTGTGCCATGTAATGTTCTCGCTCCTTTTGAACTGACTGTGGATTCAGTGTCCTAACCCTCACCACTCGTCTCTGATCTTCCCAGTCTTCCTTCATGTATCTAAATAGCGATATACTTTCATGTACCTTCATATGCCCACTGCCATATACCTAAATTAATCCTTAACTCCAACAGTTTTCTATTTTCCAGAGAGTTTGGTTAATATTGATAGCTTCCTTAAATCTCTTAAAACTGTTAACAAACTTCTGGTCACTGTGTCAAGTTGTGTAAAAAGTAAATATTTTGACAAAAGAATAAGTAAAGTTTTATGTTCAAGGAAGGTAAATGTTGACAATGTAATTATCAGTCATCTGGTCTAATATTCTGTAATTTAAACCAAGTTTTATTATTGCCAGAATTTTTTCACTTTATTCTCTGGAGTTTTAAACTTTTTTTTTTCCAATTATGTGTATTAGGATAAAGATAATTTGTATCATTGTTTCAGGGGTTATACTTGTAAGCCTCTTTAAATATATGTTTTCACACTGTGTCTACCACCAAAATCTGTCACCATGCCTTTGAAATTTTATAGCAACTATCTGCTATCAGAAGCAAAATTAGACATTTACAATTAAAGATACTTCCTGGTAGGAAAGGACAGGGTAAAAGGTGTAGAGAATATAAATAGAAAAGTAATAACCATAATAGTTATTGTAATTGTTGATACATTTAAATGTTTCTCATGTCTGCAGTTTTTCTCATGAAATTTGTGTATCTTTATTCCTAACACTTTTTTTACTTAAAATACCCTTGATAATCATATATCACTGAAATAATTCTTGAATACTCTGACACACCTTAGTTTCTCCCTCATCTTACCCCTTGCCATCTTGTTACTGTTCCCTACTTCAAATTCTGAACTGATATAGTTAGGTATATTACAAAACAAAAAAAAACCTTAGCCAAGATATCTGATTGTATTACTTTATGCACCTTTTAAAGTATTTTCTCAATTTGTATCCTTTCTATTTTACATTTTATTGAAAACTTTTCTGAGGCCTTATTTCCTTGAAAATATTTATTATCTTATCCTCATATTTGGATGACTGTTAGTTATATATTAAATTCTAGATTTTGTTTCCTTCGATAATTTAAAAATCCATAGTCTTTTATCCTTTTTTATCATTTCTTCAAAGGCATCTTTATATATTTGTTATTCTCTCAGTGTCCATATTATTGAAATGTTTTCAGTGTTCATTCCTTAGGCTTTTCTTCATATTTTCTATATCCTGTCCTTCCCTTAGTCTTGAGATTTCCTTCTGTTAATCTTCAAATTCATCATGTATTCCTCATTTTAAGTCTCCTATTCTTCCAGCCTGTATATTTCAGGTGAAATATTTACATCTTTGCTCTCTTGTTCTTATTACATGTGAGAATTACTAGCTTTCCTTATTCCTCTTAGTACAAGGTTAATTTTAAATTCATGGGCCATCAGAACTTAGATTCTGCAATTTTTTAGAATCTGTATGCCAATATGTTATTTCTCTTTAAAAACAGTTGTGCTTCTCATGACTTCATATTTTAACCTGTAAGATCACTTTACCCTGAGGATATTAGCTATTCTATCTGATATTATATTTGGGGCCAAGGTCAGTGTCCAGATAAAGTCATTCTCAGTACACTTAGAGAATGGGAAGTAGGTAGAAAAACCCCAAGCTTACCTGAGAAATTAAAGTGAATTTATCAAATGGAATAGTTTATCTGTTACTAAAAAATGATGAGTTATAAAATAATTCAATATAAAATTTATTTTTTCAGTTCTTTATGCTTTCTAAATTTCTACAAGCAAATACTGATTTTATATTCCAAATTAGTGACCAAACAAATATATATTTTAATAAAACAAAGGCACTAGGTAAAATGGGAGTTGGATGTGCCAAGAATTAACTTTGATTTATTTTCTCTATTATTTCATTTAATTTTTGTCAAAAATTTGAATTCAAGTATAAAACAAAATGTTACTGATTGTGTATAATGTTCACTGATTATCACAATAAACAGACAATTCATTTGAATGGTGGGACACTGATTGAATGTATAGTGTATATCACAGTAGGTTATATTTTTATTACTCTCAACTTGTGTAGGTAATCCTTACATGGGGGTATTTTGCATTGTTTTCTTTTTTTTTTTT